TCTTAAAACAATTGATGCAAAGTGTTTGAAGGCTAATGTGCAAGATGAATCATGGTGTTGGCATATGAGATTTGGGCACTTGAATTTTGAAGCGCTCAAAACAATGGGAGAAAAGAACATGGTGCATGGAATGCCATCAATCAGCCATCCCAATCAATTGTGTGAAACTTGTCTTCTTGGAAAACATGCAAGGAGGAGTTTTCCAAAGGAGGCCATGTCAAGATCAACCAAACCGCTTCAGCTTGTCCACGATGATGTGTGTCGACCAATCAATCTACCTTCCTTTGGTAAAAGTAAATACTTTTTGCTCTTCATTGATGACTTTAGTAGAATGACTTGAATTTATTTCTTGAACCAAAAATCTGAAGCTTTTGCTGATTTTAAAATTTTTAAAGTACTTGTGGAAAAAGAAAGTGGCTATAAAATAAAAGCTTTAAGGTCCGATAGAGGGGGGATTCACTTCAAAAGAATTTAATGACTTTTGTCAGTCTCATGGAATCTGTCGCCCTCTAACGGTACCTTATTCACCCCAACAAAATAGAGTTGCAGAGAGAAAGAATCGAACGATTCTTAGTATGGCTAGATATATGTTGAAAGCTAAAAGTATGCCCAAAGAATTTTGGGCCGAAGCTGTTTCTTGTGCAGTTTATTTGAACAACAGGTCTCCAACAAGAAATGTTAGAGATCAAACCCCTCAAGAAGTATGGGGTGGAAGAAAATCAAGTGTCAAGCACTTGAGAATCTTTGGGAGCATAGCCTATGCTCATATGCCACATCAAGGGAGAGCAAAGCTTGACGATCGAAGTGTCAAGCATGTGTTTGTTGGCTATGATACGAGTTCAAAAGGCTACAAGCTATACAACCCAAGCAGCGGTAAGGTAGTGGTGAGTCGTGATGTTGAATTTGATGAAGAATTGGCATGGAATTGGGAAACTCAGGAAGAAACTTTCGTATGATTTTCTTCCATACTTTGGTGATGAAGAAGAACCAGAGACCGTAGAACTTGTGCAGGATACAACTCCCCCTCCTTCTCCAATCAATGTTGCATCTCCTTCTTCTCAAGAAAGTTCAAATGAACAACAACAAAAGATGAGGAGTATTCAAGAGCTCTATGATAGCACAAAAGAAGTCACTAATTTTGATTTTTTGTATTGTCTCTTTACCGACAGTGAACCAATAAACTTTGATGAAGCTGTTACAGACAAAAGGTGGAGATAGGCCATAGAGGAGGAGATCGAGTCAACGGAGAAGAATAACACTTGGGAGTTAACAACTCTTCCCAAGGATGATCGAGCAATTGAAGTAGAATTGATATACAAGACAAAGAAGAATGCTGATGGAGAAGTGGAGAGAAACACAGCACGACTTGTGGCTAAAGGCTACAAGCAAAGGCAATGTATTGCCAAGGAAAAAGTAGAGCTCAAATATATGAAGTCTCATGATCAAGTTACGGATATCTTTATAAAGCCTCTTAAGTTTGAAAATTTTCAAAGGCTGAGATCAAGTTTTGGAATGAAAAAAAAAAATCAAAATTAAGGAAGAGATTTGTGAGGTCACTAAATAAAAGAAATTAAAAAGGAAGAAACCTGTGATTGGAGGAAATAAGAGACAATTGTAGGCGGCAACAACAAATTGGTTTACGAACTGTAAAACCAATTTCCTAGTTGATTTCTGGTTGTGACCAGTATATGCAAATTGCAGATTTGCAAGTTGAAGAAACCAATCTTCTGATTGGTTGGAGAGTGCGGCAACTTTTCCTATAAATTGAAGTGTTTCGTTCAGTTTCAAGAACACCAAGAGTGATATTTCTTTTGAAGTTTGTAGTAATCTCTTGACACTACTAAGTCGTAATATTATAGTGGAAATATTGTTCCGTTCGAGTATTGTATTTTACTTCGTTAGAAGAGTTGATATGTTTGTTGCTTCTTGTGTTATTGTGATTTATCGTGGATATTATTTCTGGACGAGATTATTATATTTTCCCAACAAACACTAGTCAGAGCTCCCCAGATACAACACTCAAATTCTATTTCATATGAAATGTTTAGCTATACCTCAAAGTATCAGCAGATACCTAGCATGCGACGTAAAAATCATAGTAAGTTATATAGAATAAAACTAAGGGCAGGATGAAAATAGTCCAATGGATACTCGTTGTAAATTCACTCATGATGTAGCAAAGTTACGTATATCATAGAGCCTAATAGATGAAAAAGAAAGTAACAGAATGACAGATGATAAAATATTTAATACTAATATTTAACAATGGCCATGGGCAAAGAAGCATCAACTCTTGAAATGGATGGATAGAAACCAATAATACTATATATCCAAATTTGCCATATCTAAATATATATATGTATGACATAGCTGATACTAGCCAGTCTAAATAGAGAGAGAGAGCCAGACTGGGGTCTCTCCTACACTGGCCTAGTGGCCAAACGCAAATTAAATATAACTAGTAATGTAGTTGCATGTCTCTTGCAACAATTTGGAATCCAAAATAACAAGTACAAAATAGAGGTAGCAGTTGAAATTAGTAAGCTTCTAATAATGGCAATTATTGTCACATAAGTAAACTTCTAATAATAGCCCCTTGAGCACTATCACTCTCAGTAGAATCCAAAAGCACCGATAATCGTTCACTTAGGTCTTCCACTTCTCTGTGTAAACTTCTTATATAGTTACATGTCTCTTGCAACACTTTGGATGCTGTAACCTGCTTCAAACCAAATGGTAAGATAAAAGTTAGAATTACTCACGTCATCATATACTAACTAATTAAACCTTTTATTTAATTAACATTAGCTCAAGTAATGCACGTAAATAAATGTGACTCTACCAAGAAATATAATGAAGTGACAAAGAGTCCTATAAATGTGACTACCAAGAAATATTATGAAGTGACAAAAAATCCTACACCACATGCTGCAACACAGTATTAAATGAGGGCTTGTGGGCATGAGAATATGACCCTCAAACTTATCCTTAAAAAGAAAACGAAGGCCACATAAAATATGAATGGCTTCATGAGAATGTGTGTTCATTTGTGCACAAACAACATGTATATAGTAAGTAATTGAAGAATACATGACAATACCAATTTTTTGCACGATCAGTGTAACTAGGTTAGTTACTAGTTTTATCAGGTTAGCAATATTTAATACGTACTATAGAGATTTATTTATATTATTTTATAAGTGACATTATTGTGTATTACACCAGTCAATACATAGAACTTAAGCTCAAATATATATATTCATGGTACCTTGTCAGAACGCCTATTGCGGATTTCAGGGATAAGAAGTTGTAACTTGGATACCAGATCTGCAATTTGATCATCGCTTATTCTTGAAACTGCTGACTGTCCCGAACGTGATCTTCGACTTGACATTGTCAGGGGAACTGAGAAGGGACTCACAATTCAGACAATATATATACCAGAATGGAAAGAGTTTGTAATTAAGCTGTCAGAGAGAAGTTGTAATAGAATCTTGAATGAATATTATGTGAGTTCTGTGGTGTGGGAGTTTAAAAAGAACAAAGGATAGTAACTGTTTCAGAGACAAGTTATGGACAAAGAGATATGGGAACCAAAAAGAAGAGTAAGAGAGAAACACTAAGCAAGAAGTGTTGGAGGTGAAGATCAATAGACAAGTGCATGGGAGAAAGCTGTGGGCTATTCTTGTTTTTATAGTAAGTATGAAATATATAGAGAGGAAATACAAGGAATCGGTGAAAGAGAATAAGGAGGCTTGGGTAGGCGGGATGGGTGGTTGATTATTAGCAAATATGATTCATGATTTTGAGTAGAGGATGATTTAGGATTTAAATAATATTTAAGTAATTCACGCACCAAGGGTGTGGCTTAATGGTTAATAAAGTAGGTTGAGAATCATGAGATCTCAGATTTAAATCTCAGCGAAGATAAAAAACTCTAGGTAATTTCTTCTCATCTGTCCAAACTTTGATGAATAAGGTATCTGGTGCTGGTGGGAGTTAGCGGATATTCCGTAAAATTAGTCGAGATGCGCGCAAGTTGGACCAGACACTACAATTATAAAAANTAAACTTAGTCTTAGTATAAATATGCGGAGCAACATATATAAGGATATAGGTGTATATGTATATATATGTTGAATTGAAGGTGAAAATGGGCTAATAATTATTAGGTTCACACGTCCGTAGTGGATGGGAAGGACTTGATACTGGACAATTCTAACCTTCTTTTGGGTTTGAGTTAAATTCAAAGTTCATTTTCTTAGAACCATTCTAATTTTGGTTTATTTGATCTCGGGCCTACATATTATATTGTCCACGCTTTAATTGACAGGTCTAGGTGTGGGGGGTGTTAGATTCCTATATCGGTAGTAGACGACGAACTTGGTCTCATTATATGACTTTGAACAGTTTTCACCTTAGGAGTAAAATTTTGAATTAAATTAGGTCCAAGATTCATTTTCTGATCAATACTTAGTATAGTTTTCATTACTAGAAATCAAGCAATTTCCGACTGAAATCGGCCGGAAATTGATAATTTCCGATCAAATTTCGACTGATTTTAATTGGATGGAAAAATGATGGTCGCAAACATGTACCAACCGCAATTGATCGGAAATTTTCGACCGAAATCGATCGGAAACTTCAATGCATTGACTGACTCAAACTTTATTTTCCGACCAAAATCGGTCGGAAATTATTAAAAATATTTTTTTTAATTTTCAAATTTCCGACCGAAATCGATCGGAAAATATTAAATCTTTTTTTTTTTAATTTTCATTTTCCGACTGAATTCGGTCAGAAATTTTTTAAAAAAATAATTTTATTTAATTAAATAATTATTTATAAATTATTAACTTATTTAAAAAATAAATATAAATTCATAATTTCCGACCAAATTCGATCAGAAATTTCAATAATCTGGAGAATTTATTTGAAATTTCCGACCGAATTCGGTCGGAAATTATGAATTTCTGGGCAAAAAAAAATAATTTTTCCATCGATTTTCAATAACAAAATACTATCAATTAGAGCTTAAAATAACCAAAACAGTCCTCATTATGAACTACTACCAATTAGAAGCAATATATCACGAAGTGGGCCTGACAAAATTACTCGTGTACTTCATCGAATAAGCACATCCTTCCACGACGATATAACATTCTCTTATTAAGAAACTAGCAAGGGCATTGCACAGTTCTAATCTTGGAAAATAAGAAAAAGATTATGGCTTACTTAAATGTCATAAAACTTCTGTACATGAACTATACTCATGTATATAAACAACTCGAATATCACCTAATTCCAGTAATACAACCAAAATGTGTTATACATATACTCATGCTAAAGCTAAATAAACCTTCATAGTTGAATAATTGATTCCAATTCATCTTACTCCATCCCAGATATCTTCAACTTGAGACAAGTTATTTGCTATTGAAAATCCTTCAGGAGACACACAGACAACAATCAATCCAATCATGAGCGTGAGCTTACCAGCCCGAAAAGCAAAACAAAAAATGAGGATGCAACCTGCAAAATCAACTGGTGGAGTAGGGGATTAGTTAGTTGGATCTTTGTACAACATATATAACAATGATAATAAAAAATCTTGTCACAAGAATATTAAAGAACTCAAATTGTAGATACTACTTAATGCCTTTCCAATATGGAAAATACTTTCTAATAATCACTGTACGATTTAAAGAAAGTAATAGACGTTAATACCTACTTCTACCATGCAAATGCAAGTGCAAGTGCTGGCAGGTGTTCATGTACCAAAGCAACAATCTAAAGTAGCATTATACCTCAGCTGAAGAACAATATCCAAGATCAAACATACATCGATAATGCTTGATAGGCTAATGTTAATTGTATTTTGCGTTCAGGAAGTAAGGACGAATTGCAGGAGTATAAAAAATGTGAAGTATAAGCAGCCTATGATTTCTATACTCACAAATATAGTACAACATCATCCGAGTGTAAACATATTATGCAACTCAACTCGGTTTTCACAGAGTACTAAAAAAGCTGTGAGTTTGTATGCCTTCTAGAAGCTTATGAGAATCCCAGTATATGAAATCTTCTTCAATATCAGTGCTCTCCCTTCTCCTTTAGCTAGCAGTATATTTCAAATTCTGACTTATTTACTTGTCATTTTCTTCTTTCTCCCTAGTAAAATTTAATAAACTTTTTGTGTAGCTGTTGTTAACCTAAATACAAGGAGGAGTGCCACTTCCTAGTAATGCTCAATTTCTCATTACAGACTGAGCCACTGGATTAAGTGACGTAATTTGTAACCTTGAAGAAAAACACACATGAAGACAAACTGAAACTCAATTTCATTTTGCATAACTATCATGTGCAAGGTGTCATTCAAGGTATTACATCTTGTGGAGAAAGCCTTCACTCTATTGAAAACTAAAATTTCAGTACATAAGCAGAATAGCAGTAAGTACCCATTATCCAAGCCCATATAGTCACATCTAACGAAAAAAAGTAAGTAGCTTAGAGAGAGTGAAATCAGACTATTAATATTTTATCACATATAAGTCATCTTGGATTGGTCAATTTTACATCCATATTCTCAGCTATAATTCTCTAATCAATCTAATCATATAGGAAAAATAATCACTAAACGTGCAAAAAGAGAAATAATCCCTTTGTTCATAGGAATTAACAAAAGCAAGACATCTACATTTTAATATGCAAAAACAGGAACCTCATCAAGAAAATCCGCATAAAGCAGGGAAGCAAGAGCAGAAGAGAACTTAATATACCATTATTTATGATCGCGTATAATCATCTTTGTGAAAAATCAAGTAGAAGAAGAGATGCACAGCAAGCCAGAATGAGCGGTCAATTGCATATCAGTTGTTGATCGCCAGAAGCGACTAAACCTGTCGACATCAAAGAATACCATTGAGATATAGGAAATTGAACCAAAGGTTATGATAACCAAGAGAATAAATAAATACAGGTGTTAAATGAATTGGTTTCCAAGATTTACTACAAGGCAACAACTAAGAATAAGAAGTTGGCATCACATTCCATGGATTATTAAGCAATTCTTCACATTTCTTGCAAGCATATATACTACTATATTAAAGAACTCCATAAAATTAAGCTAACAAAGAGAAAAATCTACAGGAGCACTTTACTAATCCATTATTTGTTCAGCTTAAGTGCTACTAATTGGATTTGCATTTGATGATTAGTAAAAAGGGGATATTTTCAGTATTTAGATGGGTACAAAGCTGCAGTGCTTTAAACATGTTCAGAAGCTGGCACATTGCTATTGCTGTGGGATTATATCATACCAAATGTAATTTCAGGATGCTGAAATCATAGCATAGTGTTAACAATGGGCTCAACCTAACGGACCACACGAAGCAACTCCTATTATTAGATAAAGCAACTCCAATCAACATAATCAAATTCATGGCAACTCTCAACCAGCTTTGTTTTCAAATTTAAGCACGAAGCTAACGAAATCTTATAACCACACAAAGAATCTATACTATACTATATACATATACACATATATATATATATATATATATTCACTTACACAAATGAAAGCAGGGACCAAGTAGGAATACAAATTAAGATAATACATGAGGTCTAAGATATGCTGACACAGAAAAGCCACATATTGATCAAAAGCATTCATCAAACTAGCAAAACAAGAAGTCACATTAGGAATACGATTTTCATATTACTAACATGTTTACTATTACAAATATCAGTTGAACAGCATTGGGGGTGCATTTTTAAGTCACGGGTCATTAAACAGGTCAAATATCATCAGATTCGAGTCTAATGCGCAATTGAGTAAGAAAACAAACACAGCAATGGAGATTGAACATTAGAAACACAATTCACTCCATGTTTCATCCATCTTTATGAAGAAATAGTGCAGATTCGAGAATGTGTACCTAAAACACTCGACCAAATGGAGCTTGAAAAAAACAATAACAAGCAGAAATGAAGATGAAGGAAGTCCAGCTACGATTTTGATAGCAAACAGCAGTGTCGGACTCCACTTTAATCCAGAAACAACTGAGAATCCCATAAATTCTTCAAATGAAGCACGACCGAAATCAAAAAGCTTCTTCTTCTTCTTCTTCTTTTAATCTCTTGTGTGTATGTGATAGAGGAGAGTGTGGAGGTGAGTTAGCCGTTCCACGGGAGCTGAGTGAGAGGTCGAGGAAGAAGAAAGAGGGGAAACGGCGGTAGGGTTTTTTTTGTAGAAATGGGAAGTCTGTTTTTTCGTCTCTGTTGGAAATGAAGGTCTAGGGTTACTAAGAAGGGGGGAGCGTCCGTTTAGGGTCCGTCATATGTTGTGGTTTTCGTTTTAAATTATTTTAATTTATATATAAAATTAAGTGGTCATGTATTTAAACTAATATATATATATATATATATATATA